TTAACGATGTTAACTCCCAGACATATGTTGGGGAGCGTATGCTAGCCAAACTACAATAGAAAAGGGGTTTGACGTATTTTTTTAAATAGAAGGGGACAATGCGCAGATTTAGTATATTACAGGGGGGTTTGGTGCATTTTACCCAAAAAAAATCTCCTGTCGGATCTTATGAGGGTTGAGAAGACGAGCTTGTCGGGCACACGAAGAAGTGTTTTTACGACCCACCAGACGACCTCATTCCGTGTACTCCCATATCGATGCACACGAAGAAGTGCTTTTACGCCCCACCTGATGATCTGTTTTCGTGTACTTCGAATTCAATGGAGCACACGAAGAAGTGCTTTTATACCCCACCGGACGACCTCTTTTACTGTACTCCCATTTCGATGGATCGCGCTTTTTGAATTGGTCTTCTTGGGCCGACCTCTCGGATTTTACTCACTGCAGGTTTTATGTAACCTTGTTGGTCAGGGTGAAGTTGAAAGTAGATGAACTGATTCACATACCGCACCGTCGCAGGATCGGTCGCTTCAACCTCCTCGGCAAGACTCCAAAAATACTCATGGTCTGTCCATCCACTCGCAAATCCACTCTGGTCACATGTCCATACAAAAAATTTAAGAAATTGAACAACATAGTCTATAAATTCTATAAATGAAACAATACGTGAAGTATACTAAGAGATCTAAAAATTAAACATATTTTAGAAAATTTTTATTATGTACATGATGTTTAGGTAAGTTCTATATATTTATCAATCTAGAAATTATACCTGGATCCCAGACCTCTATTGTGCTCCAGAACCTGTGGATCATGTTGGGCATAATCGACATATAGTGTGTGCCCCCTTTAGGTCACAGACACAAGGAAGTCCATGAGTGTATCTCAATACACATCCGCAGCGCCGCGAAACTTCCTCGCTCAAGTCTCGCATCATCTTAAGCTTATCATTCAATAAATCCATACAGTAATGTGAGACCCGCAGTCTCAAATGCACAAAAGGAAATCCCTTATAATTCGTACTCATCCTAAGTCTCGAAGACTCCAGCGTGTCCCTGGTAATACATTACATAACTATATATCCAATTAAAACTTAGAATTAATGCAGTAATGACATAGTAATATGTATAACTTAAGGAATATACCTGACTTGAGTCAGTTGAGACTCAATCTCCTTATGAATCTTCTCCCACATTGTGTCTAGCAAACCGGTCGACGTGTTAATCCACTGCTTCAACGTAGCGTGGACACTCTCCACCCTACACAATGTTTGTGTTACCAAATTTAAAACAATATTCGTCCACGCTTTGACAAACTTCTCTTTGTATACCAACCATGTCTGACATATTATAGCACAGGAAGAAATGCCATGTACCGAACATTCATATCACTTATGGCAGTTTTATATTTCACCACTGTGTTCGCTTTGACAACGTTCTTCCACCTACCGTGTGTGAACTTCTGAGCGAAGTGTTAGGTTCTATGAGGAACGTCAAACAACATGCACAGTATTAAACTTATTGAAATAAATCCTAACGCAACGGAATATATAGTTAAGATATGGACATTACCTTTTAAAATTTTTGCCGACTCAAAGACGATGTAGAATACCGTTGATGCAGTTCGTCTGAACACCACAATCTAATGGGCAGATAGATTTGGCCTTTATTCGATTCTAATCAAAAGTTCCAACGAAGCTCGGTCACACAGTTGCAAGGTCTCGGCGTCAGGTGCAGCGGCTAGGTCGCGCGCTTGGTCACTGGCGGGTCGCGGGTGGCGTGCGAGCAATGCGCGTTGGGCACTGGCGTGACGCGCAGGATGCAGGGATACACGGACGGGCGCTGGGAGCAAGCGAGTTGTAGCGCGGGTGCGTTGCGGCAATCCTATGCCTATGCGGACTGGCGCTTGGCATTGGACGCACGCGAGCGTGCTGGGCAAGGAATCTTGGGCGCTCGCAGTATGGTGCATGCGTGCTCCTTGCGCGCTGGGAACGGACGTGGGCGGTACTGGGCGCTCACAGTCGTCGCTGGGGATCGCTGGCGGGACCTGGGCGATGCGCGACTGCTTGCGGTAGCGAGTGGCTGCGCTCGGCTGGGCTCGGGCGATGTCCGACGTCGATGGGCAGTTTCTGACAGGTTCTCATGCCAGTGGCAATTTCTGGCGGTGGTTAGCGGCAGCGGACGGCGGCTTGTGGCAGAGGAAGATGACCGAAAAAATATATGTGGAAGACTCTCGAATATATTGTACCCAAAAGTCTTCTAACGGATTATCTAAACACCTACTTCGATTAATCTTGGTGGAGCGATTAATCGAATCTCCCTAACTCTCGAACGATGCTAGTTCTCACGTGTATGTAGGAGAGAAAACTCGGCCACTAGCATATGTTCAAAAGGTTGGGACACGGTGTATTTATAGGCTCCATTATGGACCTTAAGGAGGTGCTAAATATGGGCTTATCCCATTAGGCCAAAGAATTCTAATCCTATTCCATCTACTAATCCAATCCAGGATAGAACTTTCCTACTACTCATCACCTTCTAGAAGACTCTCAAGTCTCCTAACATTAAACAAGATTCTAGTAGGAATATTCCCTTTCTAATGGAATAATAAATATGGAATAAAATCAATTCCTTATTAAATAGAATTAAATAATAAAACATCCCACTAGACTACTAGAGTAATATTATTGTTGTCCCCATTATCTCCTAATTTATCAATAAATTTGAACCTCCATGATTAAATAATATTAATCTGATTGATCGATTTACCCTCCTTATGTTTAAGATATAACATCCGTTGATTAATTAAATTACTGACAAAATAATTAATCAATATCTTATTCATTTCCGAAATTAGTACCACTTAGATCCTTAACCATTATGTCAGACAATCGTCCACCTGCAGGGTTTTAACATAATGTACATTTCTGAGCTCATTTCGGGGACGTCATCAATCCAGCGCACTAGAACATAGTGACCATAAATAATCTATAATAGCATATCATATAATCATTCTCATTTACCAAAATACCTCGTATGTCATCCTAATAAAAATAGAATCACTTGGTAAATCAAATAAATAAGAAGTGAATATATATGCCTATTTTACATTATCTTACAGCTTAAGAGAATGCATCAATCACCGAAGGTCTAGACTACAACAACGATCAGTGAGTCTCATAATCTTATCCTTCCGCGGTCCTGTTCAACACTTATCATAAGTGCTAGCGTAATTCTTCAATCAAAGACCAACTGAATCAAGAATACACTACAGTCTTTTTTCCAAGAGGGGTCTCACTACCTGTCTAGACTGTGAACGAATAGTTTAGTCTTATAAGGAACTGATAGGTGATCTTTATGTTCGAAACACTTCGAACCACACTATCTCAATATAAGACATGGAGTATGATTTACATAAATAAATAAACTGCAAACATATGTACTTTGACTGAAACATGATGGCCAGATCAAAATGGAATTGATAGAATCTGCAAAACATAGCTTTTACAACATATCTCTAACAATCTCCCACTTATGCTTTATAAGCTCATGGCTACCATCGGTATAACGGTAGGTTGAGCATTTGTTTGGTTTCCCTCGGTTACCATCTTATGAACTCACAATATTTCGTCTTAAGATTGTAGGTAAAATTTGATATGTGAATTTCAAGAAAAATGACTTTAAGAAATAGAAGGAATTTTGGTAAAACGAACAAAGTCGAGACACGTAAGATACGCTCTCCTTAAGACGAAATAGCCTCGTATATTACCCACGGTTCACCGCTAACGCCTCCAAGATACAACGACTTTATGATTTGTGTATAGCGGTAACTCAAATACACAAACCTTCGACGAACAATACTTATGTTTTGAACTCTCAAGATAGAAAAGAACACAAAGAACACAAGATGAATATGAACTTTGTAAAAAGGATGCAAAGGTTATGGAATAATTTGATGTCTTGAATGATTTCATGCTAGTGGGTATTTATAGATGTAGGGAGACACCTCCAAGAGGTTTACGTGTCAAAAGACACCTTTTAGGACGAGCCCGAATAAGAAGGGATGCATCTAGTGGCCAAAAGATACCTTATGGTCATCAAGGGTTGCGACCCTTTGATTTGCGCAGCCAGTTGCGCGCCCGTGCGCCGCGGGCTCGTACGAGCTCATACGGACTCAGAATCGAGTTTCTTTTTTTCCTACTTGTCCCCAACGAGCTCCTCTACAGTTTTAGCATACACAATGCATATTTATGACTCGTTTAGTTTGTCCAAACATTTATTAAAATATAATGTTTGTGAACCCTACAACATTTTGAGTTATTTAAACTCGATTAATTAAAATATAACACTTAGGATTAATTTCTTATTCAAATTAAAAAGGTTTTAAGAATTTCCTAAGTCTTCTACTTACAAAAAATAAAATTGTTAAATCGGTACAAAACTAATTTTTCCTTACACATAGAATACTACTAGAGAACATATGTACATGATAAGTATTTAGCACTATATAAATAAAATCAATTGTTGGTAAGTGGACACATGCATAGCATAGAAATGTAAACATTATCCACATTTATTTTGTTTCCATGTAACTATAAGAGTAGTGTAATTACACAATGATATTATTTCTTGTTATGCAGTCACTTTAAATAAGTGCAAAAAGAACAAATAATAATAAAGTAGTTCCCTCCACATCTATATCCGAACCAAATTCCCTCCCTTCATCTCCACTTTCCTTTTTTCCCTCGTTTTCTTCCCCGTTTCTTTCCCCTCTTTTTTTCCCCCTTTTTTTCTTTGTTATTTTGATTAATTCTTCCTGAATCAGATCTCTCTCGACCAGAGATTATTCGTCTCCAAGCTTGCATCTTTGTTTTCGATTTTGTTAACTCATACGGGAAAACCTTGAAGATCGATTCTCGAAAAAACCAGGTTAATTGGAAAAAACTGAGGGTCTTTTTCTGTATCTTTGGTGTGTTGGAGCTTCGAGAAAGTGATTAAATCATGCAGCAGCAGCAGAACACTTCGAGGAAACAGTTGCCGTTTACTTCCATGAAGCCGCCGTTTGGTGGCGGTGGCAGTGGCGGAGACTACCACCGCTTTGCCGCCGCTGATACTCACCGGCCAGATCAGGAATTTGTTGAGACCGTGGTTGTGAAGAGGCTTCCTGTGAGCATTAACTTCTCATGAATTTGTTACCCAATTGTGTTTGCTGTGAATATTTCTACTTTGCTTTCAGAGTATATAGTTTGATTTGGGACCACTGTTTTATTTTATTATTTTGGTGTGAATTTGCAAGATACTATGTTCTTGAATTTCATGAATTCTTGCCATATTGTATATGTTGATGTCGAAATCTGAGTCGGGGTTCAGGGTTTCTTTAGCTGGGATTAGTTCATTAGTTTAAGGCAATGGTAGGGACTGTAAAGTTGATTTTTTTTTTCCCCCTTTAAGAGGGTTTGGGCTTGGCCAGCATAATTTAGCTTGTTTGAAGGTAAAAGATCCAATCATTGTGTTATCTAGACAACATTTTGAAATGGATTTATTTACAGTGTGCTAGTAAAATCATGCTTTACATTCATCGACACTAATGATATGTGATATATGTTGTCAAAGTTGTTTACATAATCTAAGCGGTGATTATGATGTTAAACCGTCAGAATTATTATGAACATCTTCATCATCCCTTACCATTTATTCACCAAATGGAATTCTTAACTCGACAGATTTGACACAGTTGGAATTCAACGATTCATCTCGTCACGAGGATATATTAAAACTGCCTCCTATAGTGTCTCTTGTTGAAATTTGCCCTACATTTACATATCGTTCGTCACTGCACATTAGTTTCTCATGTATTTTCTTTTCTATTGTATGTACCTTATGCAATTCCCATTCATATTCCGTAGCATTACTTCAATGGAAGTTGAATTCCCTCACTTCAAAACAAGTATATATATATATATATATAAAATGAGGAAGGAAGTAGCTGCTATATACTAGTAGTAACTGGAGTAGCAATCAGAATAGAAAAAATATCCAACAAACTTTAGTTATATGCTTAAAATAGACCAATTTTGTTAATAATGTTTGCTCAATCTTTCTGACTATAGCAACTGTGTGGAGGCTCCCAACATTATAGGCTTTATAGCCCTTCTGCTTCTATCAAAGCATTAGCGTTGCGATGGTAGTTCGTCATATGGTGATCTGAAATCTAACCAAATCCTTTTATCTCATTAAAAAGCCTAGGCATTTTACAATGGCAAGACACATCAATGAAAGTCAATTCCGAGAAGCTCAGTGTCATCCAGAAATATCAACCTGTTCTAAGGTCTTCCTGAAAACAGAAATTCAAAGTTTTTCTTTTAGTTTTTTATGCTTAATCCGACATAACATCTTCTTAGTATTTTGCAGTAGATAACATCATTAGCTATACAAATTTTGAAGTCAGGTTGGTTCAACTGTCTATGAGGAGTGTTAAATATTTTCATGTTATAGATGAAATTCCTAAATTCTGTTTCCTGAGTTGCAAAAAATTGGCTTTCGGGGATTATAGGATGAATTTATGGAAATTATGCAGCCAAACGGACTTAGTATGGCTGAGATGTAGCAGGATGAAGGGGGAGATTGTACCCCTTTTACTGGAAAGAAAGTGAGTGGGAAATAAAGAGGAATATTTTTACGCCCCTCTCAATTAACTTTCTTGGCACAAAAAATCATGCTTGTATGTGAAACATTATCCAAGAGATTAAATTGATGCCCTTATTTTCGTAATATGAGTTAAAAGGTTATAAGGGTGAAGGGCTCATGCTGCCAAGCAGTTCTCTTTTGTAGTTGTTTCCCCTCATCTCCTCCTGCATGGCAAAAGGGATGTAGAAAATAATATCTTGTCCTCTTAAGGGTAAGTATTTTAAAATTTTAATAAATGGTCTCAAAAGGCTCGTTAGTTTCTAAGGTAAAATGGAATGTGACAGTAGTTTCCATTCAAGACAGCTATCTCTGCTTCTCATCTCCAAAACGTATTTCATGTAATTATTTTGAGATATAGCATGGTTCCTAATCTCCTGGATGATCTCTGACTTCAAAATACTTAAACCACTTTAACATTTATTTCTTATTCCCTTTTCCTTTTTAAAAGCGGGGATCCTTTTTTGCATATGATGGGATGATCATGTTTCCTGGGAAGGTTATTCTAGTTATGCTTTTTGAATGTTTTATATACTTGTATTTGAGTCCTTAGCCAAAGGAAAAGAGAACATAAAATTTGGGCAAGATATTGTAGCTAGAGGGCTCCATACCCAACTGGTGGTTCATTTGAACATCTCCGAGATTGATGGATTGAAGCATCAGCTCGTTGACATGTTTTGAAGGGGAAAGCTCTTGAACATAATTTGTTTTTATTGAGTTAAATGGGATGAATGTTATAAACTCCATGGAATTTGTGTTTATTCAGAATGATACGTACTGCCAAATACACTCATCTTTACATGGTTTTGAATGAGTAATTAATTTGCTTATACATAATACATCTGCTGGGTCTATATTTATATAATGCTATTATATATTTTTATTCTTCATTGTTTTCCTGACCTCAATGCCTTATTGAGGTTTGTTGCTGACTGTGACTTGTTTATTTCTTTCCCGCCAGTCATTAAAGCGAAAAACTGGGACAGTTGATCATGAAGTAGAATCTGGTGAGCAAATTGCAGGTGTTTCTGTCATCAAAGGCCTTCTTCAGACGCCACCGTCTGCAAAATCAGGAAAGGCCCCAAAAGCCCCAAGATCAAATAAAGCCAACAAAACTGTATCTCGAATTCCCACGGCAAATGTTGGTAAGCATTTATCATTTTAAAATTCATTTTTCCTTTTAATATCACTGAGTCTCAACTTCCAAGCTATTATTACATGTGTCACTCTAGTCTTTCATTCAACTTGAAGAGAACGGAAGTTTCTAATGGACATGTTTGTGCAGGTTCACCTGGCGGCAATAATGTCACTCCTGCGGGCCCCTGTCGTTATGACAGCTCTTTAGGTGACAAATGTCCCCATGCTATTACAATTATTTTTCATCCTCATGTAAAATCATATCTCTATTTTGTCTCTCTCAAAATTTTACTTTATTCTAGCTGAGGGTAAATTCATAACGTTTAGTTTTTCTCTGTCTCAGGTCTCTTAACAAAGAAGTTCATTGATCTGATTAAACGCGCAGAAGATGGTATTCTTGACTTGAATAAAGCTGCAGATACTTTAGAGGTGATTATATCAGTAACCAATGCTAGTTGTGGCTGTGTTAGTAACTGATTTATAAATTTTTAATTTTATAATAATTCATCCTCACAGGTTCAGAAGAGGCGTATATATGATATAACTAATGTTCTTGAAGGCATTGGTCTTATAGAGAAGAAACTAAAGAACAGAATCCAGTGGAAGTATGGAAGAACTTGTCCAATACACTTTATTTTGCCCGATTTTTTTCCCTTCTGTCATCTTAAGTCTGCATTTATCTTGCTAGCATATAAGAAAATATGAGTAACTGAAAGTTTACTGGATAGGGGGGTGGACGTCTCAAGACCAGGGGATGCTGTTGAGAGTATTTCCAGTTTGCAGGTATATGCATAAAAAACTGTGCATATTGTGGAATACACTATATTCACTATTTTCCCAGGACGATTCCCTTAACTGGGGATTATGGCCTTTTCTAAATTGTTCAACCCTCATGAATTGTCTCATTATTCTCCCTCACATGGCATGCCCGTTTCATAATAATTCTCGAGAATATTTATTAAAGTTCCCATTTCAAAGCGTTTGAGTATGCCAAACTTTACTCTCTTACATACCTTACTTACGGATAGGTGTTAAATAAGTTCTCATCATCTTTATTCTCCTTTTCAGGAAGAGCTGGAGAATCTGAATCTGGAGGAACACAAATTAGATGAGCGCATAAGGTCCTCAACTGTAGCTTCTAGAGTTCATCAGATCAATACCATTTGCAATTATTCTTTTCTATTCTAAATGCGTTTCTTCTAGTTAAATTTTGTTCTATTTTCAGAGAAATGCAGGACAAACTGAGGGGCCTGAGTGAAGACGAAAACAATCAAAAGTAAGCACTCTTTCCACCTGTTCAGGGAATTCTTTCAAATTTCAGTTATTGGCTGCCTCACGATGATCTGATTGCTTACAATTTAATTGTTATTATCTTCTCCAGGTGGCTTTTTGTCACTGAAGAAGACATCAAAACCTTACCTTGCTTCCAGGTATAAAATTTTGTAGGTATTTGTGTTTGTGTGTTGCAATTTCTTAATGATAAGATGTGTTCTTGTTCTTTCTATCAGAATGAAACTCTGATAGCAATTAAAGCTCCTCATGGTACGACTTTAGAAGTTCCAGACCCCGATGAGGTACTTATT